TTATTTTTTTTAAAACTGCACAGAAGAGGGCACTCTTGGACCAAGAAATAGAGTAAGCAACCAAACACCTTGGTCCCAGTAGAATGATCGTTATTGCTGGTCAGGAAAAGTCAACACACTTTATTATAAGCAGGAATAAACGTAAGAGTAGAGAAAGTATAAATTAAACTTTTTCCACTTATGAAAATGCTGTTTAAACTCACAAGGCAGAAGATAATACAACATTCCAACATGAATTAAGTTTCATCCAACAAATTATAGAAATGCAAGAACACTGTAACTCACAAACGTAAAATTCTGAATAGAAATCGTTGCAAAAAGAGCTGACAGAATACTGGAAAGAAATTGAATAAAAAGACAAAAATTACTTCAAAAACGACTACAAGAAAATTATGAGACAATGGATGCAAAGTATTTAAATGGATACAAATGACAGGAATAAAAGAGCTAAGAACTGCCATTTGAAATTATTACTTCTGCACATTTCACTGAAATAAAATATGAAGCTGTGTACCAAAAGTACCTATCATATGATCCATAATATTAGAATTTAAAGGTTACGAACCTTTAAATTCGAACTGCCAGTGCAGAGCCTGCCACAGAGCAGAGCCTGATGCAAGACTTGAACACAAACCGTGAGATCATGACCTGAGCTGAAACTAAGAGCCGCACACTCAACTGACTGAGCCACCCAGGTGCCCCAAAACAACTTGTTTTTAAATGCAAGAGGGAAGAAAAGGGGAAATGGAATAAGTTTATTGATTTCATACAGACAATAGATGTTGTCTAAGGGTATTAAACCTGACCAAGCAAAGAGTAGAAGCCTAATTAAGAGATTAGAAGGCCAAAGAAATTGTATCAAGTATGAAGGTAACTACTAGGACAAAGTCACAAACATTCCGAAATAACAAAAGATACAAAAAATAAAAAGAGAAAAAAACAGTTCTACCACATAGTGAAAGACATATGATCCATATGACACAGAATAATATAACTGATCAGAGACCAAACATACTGAGATAACAATAAATGTAAATGGGCTTAGTCCACCTATTCAAAGAGAAAGATCTTTAGATGGCCATGCAAAGCAAAACCAAACTCTGTGCTATGTACAAGAGACAATAGCAAAAGCCAGAAGGAGGAAATGGAAGTATGCTGCTGTAAGGTTCTTAAATTTTACCTAAAATTGAACAGTACATTAAAAGGAACATACACTATGATCAAGGGGGATTTATCCTCAGAATGCAGTGATGATTCAATATATGGAAATCAGTCAGTATGATACACCACATCAACAGAATGAAGAATAAATCAAGTGATCCTCTCAATAGATGCACAAAAAGCATTTGACATCCTTTCATGATAAACACTCTGAATATACTAGGTATAGAAGGATCGTACCTCAACGTAATAAAGGCTGTATGTGACATGCTCACAGCTAATGTCAGACTTAACAGTGAAAAGCTAAAAGCTTTTCCTCTAAGATCAGGACCAAGACAGGATGCCCACTCTTGCCATTCTAGTCAAAATAGTTCTGGGGTCCTAGTCAGAGCGATTAGGCAGAAAAAGGAGATAAAAGGCATTGAAATTGGAAAGGAAGAAGTAAAATTGTTTTTGTTTTTAGATGACATGATCTTATATACAGAAAACCCTAAAGACTCCACCAAAAAACTCTTAGAACTCAGAAAAGCTGCAGGAGATGTAAAAACCAGTTGTATATACTGGCTTTTTTTTTTTCTATAACCTAGCAACATACTGTCCAAAAAAGAAATTAAAAAAACAATCCAACTTACAATAAAATAAAAAACAATAAAGTGCTTATGAATAAACTTAACCAAGAATAATATTTGAAGGTAGACTATGGTAAGTTAAAAAATGCATATTGTAAATTCTAAGGCAACCACCAAAATAAAAAAACAAAAACATATGACCAATAAGGCAATAGTGAAGACAGAATATTTTATAAAAATAGTCTATTAATGGGGTGCCTGGGTGGCTCAGTCTGCTAAGCGTCCGACTTCGGCTCAGGTCATGATCTCACAGTTCGTGGGTTCAGGCCCCACATTGAGCTCTGTGCTGACAGCTCAGAGCCTGGAGCCTGTTTCTGATTCTGTGTCTCCCTCTCTCGCGTGCGCGCCCTCTCTCTCTCTCAGAAATAAATAAAACATTTAAAAATTTTTGAAAAATAGTCTATTAATTCAAAATTAAAGGAGAAAACAGCTAAAATGGAACAAATCACAGATGCGACAAAGTGAAAACAACTGTAGATTCAATTTAACCACATTGACCATTATATTAAAAACAAGTACAGGGTTCGAATACCATCTGCTGAAAAGTCCTTATAGCTCAAGTGATGATAACAAAATAAAGTAACAGAATTTTCTACTTTAGAAATATAAAAATCACTTATTGAAGAGCAATCTTGAATGTCTATTGTTAGCTATCAGTAAGGAATTTCTTTACATGCTTCAGATTCCTGTACCTGCATGTCATTTGATCTTATAAATCACTTAGATGATGATGCAAATTAATTTACCAAATTAATATTAATCTTTTGGCTCCATTTGGCAAAATCAAGGGAGCTTACCTCCTGCCCAGGAAAAGCAAATCAGCTTAAAAATTGCATCACTGCTTTAGTATAAGTAGTTCACAACTTTTTCAGTATTAGGGAGAAAATGCAAATGTATGTAACTTTATACAAATCAAGTAACCTGTCCGAACTCAGGTATGTTTTAATGGAAATCTTTATTATGAAGAAAATGTGTTCAAGTATAAAGTGATTGCCAGTTTTCCCATAAACAAAGGCTAAAAAACTTTTTATGGGTTTGATTTTGACAATTTGAATATGTAAACTTTCAGGGATGAAGATGAAAAAGTTAAGTATAACATTTAGTAACTACATTTCATACGCACATTTATAGTGATATAAATGTTAATTTAGAAATCACTTTTCAGGAGCTCCTGGGTGGCTCAGTTGGTCCAACTCTCGATTTCAGCTCAGGTTGTGATCCTTGGCTTGTAGAATCAAGCCCTGCGTGTGCTACGCCCAGAGCTACATGCTGAGCATGGAGCCTGCTTGAGACTGACTCTCTCTCTCTCTCTCTCTCTCTCTCTCTCCCTCCCTCAAATAATAATTAGAAGAAGAAGGAGGAGGAGGAGGAGAAGAAACAGAAGCAGAAACAGAAATAGAAATAGAAATAGAAATGTCTTTGGGAGCCAGAGTGAGGTGCTGCCAAAGGGACAGAAAGCTTGAACAGAGAGAGGAAGTTCACCGAGGGTGGAGAAGCCATTGGTCTCTCTGAGTGTCAGTCATAATGGTCCAGAGCTGTCAGAGAAACCGCCTGGATGACTCACTAGGATTTCACTGACTGTGTGTGGAAGTACTTCCATCTTAGATAATGATATGGAATGCAGGCAAACGTGGCTGCTACTAGCAAGGGAAATTGCAGTCAGGAGGAAAGTTACAAAGCTTCAATAAGGTTAGGCTAAATTCCTCCAGCTCTTTCTCATTAAAGTGGGTAAAACCCTTCTTACTGATGAAATTTCTTTTGACACCCCCCCCCCACCTTGTGATTAATTACACTTGGAAGGATTAAACATTTACCCAGTGTTCAAATGTACTAGACAGACATTTCCTAAGGCCTGTGATCAAGGTCCTGTGGGCATTTCTCAACATTATCCTCCGGTAAGAAAGGTAGTGACTCTGCCCCCAAGAGAAAACTACCAGAAGCATCTATCTATTCAATTGAAGCCCCAGAGGGGAGAAGAGAGGGTATCTAGTAGGGGCAATCCTCAAGAGGTGTTGGTTTGGTTTCTTCAGAACTGATGAATGACACAAGTGCACATTCCAAGCAGAATAAATTAAAAAGAAATCTACATATAGATGCATTATAATGAAATTGCAAAGCAGTAAAGTTGAAGGACAATATGAAGAGCAGCCAGGAGGGTGAGGAAGTGGGCTTGGACTATTTTCTTGGAAGGAACAGCTGTCAGACTGACATAAAGCTAGAGAGGGTAAAAGGGTCTCTTAAAGTGCCGAAAGAAAAACTCCCACGTTAGAATTCTCAAAGCAGTTTTTTTTTTAAGTTTGTTTTAGTTTTTAAGTAAGCTCTAGACCCAACCTGGGGCTCAGACTCAACCTCAAGATCAAGAGTCACATGCTCCATTGACTGAGCCAGCCAGGCAGCCCTCAAGGCAGCTTTTAAGAAACATGGTAAAATAAAAAAAAAAAAAAAAAAAAGACTTTTTCAGACAAGTCAAAAGTAAGTTTGTCACCATGAAGACACTCATTAGATAAAATTAAAAAAATTTTTAATGTTTACTTATTTTTGAGAGAGAGGGAGACAGTATCAGCGGGTGAAGGGTCGAGAGAGAGAGAGACACACACAGAATTCAAAGCAGGTTCCAGGCTCTGAGCTGTTAGTACAGAGGCCAGCACAGGGCTTGAACCCACAAACCATAGTACCATGACCTGATCTGAAGTTGGATGCTTAAATGATTAAGCCACCTAAGTGCCCCTCATTAGATGAAATTTTAAAGGAAGTCCTTTGGGCAGAAAGTAAATGATCCCAGATGGAAGATCTGAGATACAAGAAAAACAAAGAGTGATAAATACGTTGGCAAATGTAAATGAACAGCGACTGCGTGACTTAGGAACTGTGATGTCTAGTGGGCCTTAAAATAGATATGGAAGTAAAATGCCAGACAAACATAATGTGTAAGTCAGTAGCAAGTAAAGAAAGGCCTTATGTTATTTATCATTGAGATTTCATTCAATTTAGACTTAATAATTATGTATGTTTTAATTTGTAAAACATGTCCTTAAAAGAATAGAAACACCCTATAAGTGAAACACATTGGAAGAGAAGACTGATCAGTCTCAAAGCAAAAAATACATACAAATGTTGCCAGCAGGTGGGGTCTCAGGACCCAGAGGGGGTCCCGCGGGACCAGCCGGGAGAGTAGGGTAGAAGTCAAACATGAGCCAGCAGGAGGTGAAAGCAGAGTTTATTGAAGGTATAGAGAGTGCAGGTGTGGACAGAGTGTCTGGGAGACTCAGGAGAGGAGGAAGTCTCCTCTTTGCTCAGGGTCTGGAGTTTTGACTGAGGCTCGTGGTCTGGTGCATGTGTCCCCTCAGGCATCCGGGAACCGGTTAGAACGAAGACGAGAGTCCAGGCGTCGTTCCTTAGAGCCAGGGGTCTTGGCATCGAGACGTCTAGTGCAGGATCTGCATATGGTGGCTTCATCTGGTCATTCTCACCTGGTCCTTCCTTCGCTGTTAACTGTTCTAGAGAAATCTAGAGAAATCAATCATTCCTTGTATTCCATTGTCCTCCTTACAAGAAGCACATGCGCTATTTGTGCTATAGGGCATGTGTAAAGTGGGGTTCAGGACCGAATAAGAATAGAAGCAGGAAAAGGAGCAAAATAACCCATTTCCCCACCACCACGGCCCCTTCAGTTTGCCTATCTCGGCCACTGGCAGGTGACAACAAAGAAGGTCATGGAGAAAGCAGTGGCCAGAGAACAGGCAGAGAGAACACTGAGCCACAGCCCGGTGGAGAGGTAGTGTGTGGGCAAAGAGGAAATGAAAAGAATGCATTTGGCTGGAGGCCAGAGCATGGCCAGCAGGTGCTGAGGGAAAATAGCAAAGAAATAAGTAGGAGACAGGGCGTAAGCGACCTTGTCAGCCAGCAATCAGAAGCATTTTGGACTTGATCTTAAGAACGATGAGAATCCATTGAGAAGTATGAGGACCAGAGCTACCTTTCAGAATGGTGGCATAGGGGTGGAGACAGAAAGCCAGGAGGCTGATCCAGGAGAGAAAGGTTGGTGACTTGGCCTAATGGTAACATTAGCAAACACAGAGCCCTGACCAAGGGCCAGGCATTGCTCTGAGCTTTCAATATTTATCAAGTCTTCATATTTTCAGTTATGTGGGCACTATTCACAAAAATTAAAATATTTCAATTATCTCCATTTTGGAGATGAAAATATAAGGTACAGAGAAGTAAATGTGATGAAAAGACACGTGGGTAGAGAGTGACCCACGCAGTGTGGCTCTAGAAGCTTGCTCTTCAGCCCGTGTACCTCCCTCCTCTGTGTGAGGGGCTAAGGTTGGCCATTTACCAGACATGGTGAGTGTGGGAGGAGGAATCAGGATGACCCCCACCTTTCCGGCTTGGGCGGCCAGGTGCATAGTAGTGTCCTTTACTGAACCAGAAAACACAAGAGGAGGAATGGATTTGGGGAGAGGTGACGTGTTGAGTTTGGGATTGTTAAGTTTGGGGTACCCGTGAAGCCTCCCAGAGGAGATTTCCAGCCAGTATTTGGCCATCGGGATCTGGCTTTCAGGAGAGTGTCTGGGAGTAGTTGGGGTTTGTCTACGTTGAGGGGACATTGAAGCAGAGGGATGGAGTAAGATGGCCTTGCAGAGAGCGGAGAATGGTGTTCTTCCCTGAGATGGAGGCAGAAAGGGGGCCCAGAGACTCCAGCAGACTTGGATGTATATTGTGGCCCTTCTTTCTAGAAGAAATGCTCATGCCTATTTGTTAGGCTGGCACCCAGTGCTGTTTTAATAGGGGTCGTGGACCATCTCCCCTAAGCCTACCCATGGGCTTACTGAAAGTCAACAGATTTCAGGTTCAAGAGGAGGAGAAAGCAGGCCACGACGGAGCGCAGGGATCACTGTATTTAACTGTCAGGCAGGAAAAGAGAAGGTGAAGGGGGCTTGGATGCAGAGGCCGGGACAGTAGGAGGGTCAGGGTGTGTCCCACATGCCGGTGTCAGGGAGCAAGGATTCCTGTCTCCTCAAAGGTCCTTCCAACAGGACTAAGAATCAAATCGACATGTGACAGATTAACAGGAGAAAATCCAGTGTAACAGGCGTACGTACAGGGAATCCACACAGACAACAGAAATTGCAAAGACGGGGAAAATGAGGTGTCTCTGGCACTCTGAGCTCAGGGAGAGGGGAGGACGGGTCTGGACCTCAGAGGAGAACAACATACTTCCCAGGGCGAGAAGAGCACATGTTTGCTACATAGATGTGTGCCCTGCCATAGAAGTGGGTCACTCAGATAAACTTTGTCTCTGTTACTAACTCTCATTCTGGGAAAAACCCCCGAGTGAGATTCTTGTGTGTGGTTAAGGGAGGGACAGAAGTGGCTCATGAGCCCATAAAGTCCCAGGGACCTTCGGCTTAAAATAATCCACATGCCCGAATGGCACGTTTGGAGGAGAGGGCTGTCCTGAACCCCTTCACTGGACACCAGATGCAAATGTAAGTCCAATCAGAAGGCATCAGATGGGTGTCTTAAAAGTCTCCTCCAAATGCACCTTTCTAGGGCGATTTTATAAACTCCAGCTTTTCTGCAAGCTGCCATTCCTTAATCAAGATGCTGACGGTTTTTGCAAGACTTGAGTGGCGCTGCTACAGGCATGTGGAATGATTGGGTACTGTACCTCATCCCTTCCTCTGTCTACCCTTCCAGAGACTTCTCTCACATCCCACCCTCTCTCCCGACGTCTCCCCAGCACCACGCAAATTCCCCCATGAGTCCCACTCCCGAGGGCTGGGCAAAGCCTCTCCTGATCCATCCTGGCCATGTTCCCAGACAGTAGCTGTTGCCTGGCAGTGCAGAAGGCAGCAACCCAGAAGTCTCGCGCGTGGCCAGAGTTGCTCCCAAACACACACAGCAGAGGGCAGTGCTTACAACAAGGCTGAAGTGTAATGCCCCCCAGATGTAGAGAACCTGGGCCAAGGGGTGGGTAGGATGTAGGATTTTCTTTACCATCCCTGTGCCCTGCTCAGACACACCCTCGCCTGTAGATGGCTCAGGAGAAACAGGCTGTGTATTCAGAGGCCATCAGGGTATCAGTTCAGCCGGTGTACACGCCCTCCCCCAGCTGTTGCATCGACAGCTAGCCATGTATGGATACTTCTTGCTCTCAGTTATTCTTTGGGGGCTTGACAGGAAATAGCTGTAACCATAATTAAGTGTAAAGACAGTAACATGACTTAATGTACAGTTCTCAGCTTCTGGACCAGGCCCCTTGAGAGTTTCCTGGGCACTTCTTTCTCAGCGGACTTGTTACGGACAGCGCGGTAGTGTGCAGAGGGGGTCTGGGCTAAGCCCAGCACCTCAGCCACGGTGAGGCCTTGGGCACGCCTCACATCTCTGTGGGCCTAGATTTCTTCAGCTGTTGGGCTACAGGTCCTCTGAGGCTTGTTTCAGTTCGAATACCCTTTGATTTTGTGACGTTTCCAAGTTGGGAGATGATGCACTCTGAGCCTGTGCCCCCCCTTCCCCACCATGCAGTCAGTGCTGCCTCTCTACTTCCTCGTGGGGTCCCAGCGCAGTATGGCAAGAAGAAAGTACGAGATGCTTTTGACCGGGAAGAACTGGGACACAGAAGGTGGTGGTGTTTGCTCCACTCCCAGGATTTGGGACGCCACCATTGCAGCAGGCCATACTGTCCCTGCTCTGTGGCTTCCTTTTCTCATTTTTCTTCCCCGTGTTCCTGGAAGGGCCCTCCGCCACTGCATTCTCTCCTAGCTCCTACCTGACTTCTCCTTCTAGGAGGTTCAGTGAATGACCCCCTGCTTTTCAACTCTGAGTAATTTACTTTGGAAAAGTGACCCTGCAGTCTGAGACACCCTGTGATTTCAGCAGAAGCCACACTGGTGCCCACTGTGGGCTCCCAAGATGGTAACTCATCAGTCCTCCATGGAGCATACTTCCAAGATGGCAGGGCCACGGCTCTGTCCTGCCTCTGCACATTCCACCACGGGCTAGTCCTGCTTCACCGCCATTAGACTCCAGTGCCACTAGATTCCCCCTTCCCCCATCAGCCGTGTTTCCTTTTCAGATTCCTTGGTGTCCATTCTTACCCATCAGAGAAGTTCTAATAATGTTGAACTTCAAAAAAGGATAGAGTCCTCCCTTTCCTCCTAGGAGGTTCCTCAGATCCTACAGAAACTACTTCTTTCTCTACTAGCAGTTGTACATGTTAAGGATTATTAGGAGAAGCATCCTTCCTTGGGTTTTAAAAGTCTATCCTCTCCTCAGGACTAAAATGTCTTTCTGCCTCTAGTCACCTACCTAAGAGGGAGAGGCCATTCATGTGCTTCAACAGCCAGCAGACTCCTATCCCCAGCAGCTTTCCCTAGAGTCTCTTCCCACCTGTGTCTCTGTCTCCTTTCCTAGCTCCCCCTCCTCCTAACCCACCCTTTTTCCTTCCTCCTCTTCTCCAATCCTATTTCTTACTATATGCAAACTAATAATGGTAAAGAAAGGAGTCAGCAAGTCATGCTCATATGCCTAGATTTTAAGTCATAAAAGGATTTGACCTTTGACCCATTTTCTTTATGACAGATGTCCTATGTTATGAAATCCTAATTCATGAACCATAAAAAATAAAATGAGAGAAAGAGTGATTTCTAGCCATTATTCCTGCTCAACAGGCAGTGAAATTGCTAAGTGAGTTCAATACATTCCTTCCTTATTGGGTATCAGAATGAAAAAAGTTGTTTCTCACGAGAGAGAGAGAAATGTAGGGCTAGATTTACTTATCACGTCTCTGAATTTAAGAACATGTTGATTTTCACATCTTTTGAAAACCACTTCAGAAGTCCCTTCCTGTCCCAGAAATGATGATAGTGAGAAATTCAATGCATCAAGCAAGTTACGAAATTCTGTGTGAGGTGATTTTCGTCTTGTATGGTTTACCGTGTTTGGGTCTCACGTGAGGACATGTGCAAACTGCCTGTTACCTGTCGGCAATGAGGCCGTAGCTTGAACCTGCTGGGTGATAGCCAGAAATGAGTATCCAGAAGGCTTTCTTGGTGGTTTTCATGCATGTAAACAGTTTTCATTGTTACAGATTACTTGCAAAAGTGAGAGGAACTTAGGTAAACCAGTAAAAATCATTCTATGAAAGACATAAAATAGCAAAATAAATACAGCACAGTTAAGGCACATTTTCTTTCAAAGCACTGAGTCTAGGTAGCTATAACTTAGGATGAACAGAAATAGTGTAAGGGAGAGCTTTGAGGTAAGATGCCTGGGTCCTTACCCTGGCTCTGATATTTAACCAGTCCTGTGACCTGGAACCAGTTACCGAATCTCTCTGTGCCATATTGGGTTACTGTGAGAATTTCTGAGCCTAAAATATTGGTAGAAAGGGATACACCAATGTTATAATATGCGTGTAACCATGGAGCCATAGGTGACTTTTGATTTTCCTACTCAAGGTAATTTCCTAAATGTTCTTCAATAAACATATATTGCTTCCAAAGGGAAAAAAAGAAAAAGACATGCATCCAGTATTTCCCAGTGTATTCTGGTAATAAGTGATTACTACTTTTATATCATAGGGCTCTGTAAAAGTTGTAATAATATAATTCTATTTTGTTAGTCTTTAGTAGAACGTATTATTCATCCATTCGTCCATCCATCCATTCATTCTAGAACTACAGTTCTAAGAGATGCCAAGACAGAGAGACACTGGAGGTTTCTGCCCCCACGAGTTCACAATCTTACCTGGGAAGGGGTTGGGCAGGCTAGATAAGAAAACAGACTTTTACAACAGAGTGTGATGAGTACTGACGTAAAAATGCTGTGAGAACATATCAGAGAAGGGCGCCTAACTAGGATTCAAGGGATTGAAGAAAGTGAGGGAGGCCACGGTCAGCAGAGCAAGGGGAGAGAGTGAGAGAGCCAGCTGGGACAAGCTTTGGGGTGGCCAGTGGGGAGAGTGGCAGCCAGTTGGAGAGAAAGCTGGTTGGTGAGAGAAAGCTGGATGCCGTAAGAATCTGCCAAAAAGGTTAGTCAGGTGTGGAGGTTGGAGCTTCTCAGAGAAGAGACCCAAGGAAACAACAGTGACAAGGTCATGAAGGGCCCTGGGGGACATCAGGTGCCTTTGAGCTTCATCTTGAGAATGATAAGGAACTTCTGAGGAGTTTTGTAAACGAGTCACATTTCAGTTTTGCACTTTGGCTGAGTGGAGTGGAGGTTGGCCGGGCGGAGTGGATACCTTTGTAGTTCTCTGGAAGGGAGGGGACGCAGCCTGGCCGAGCATGGTGACAGGGGGCATGGAGACTGTGGAAGGCTTGGGGAAATAGCCTCTTCAGGGAGAGTCAGCAGGACTGGAGGGAGCAGGAAGTTAACAGAATCCAATTGCCCCTCAGACACTCAACTGTGCATCTCCCACAGGGAAGGGGAAACACACTTGAGGTAACATTCAAATGACTTATTGACAAGTCTCTGAAGAGCCACTCATCCCAAAGCAAAAGACTGCAGCCTTGTTCTTGATTCCTCTTCAAATAAGATTATCATGAGGAGGCTTTTCTATAACCAAACTATAGGAAGACTCCCTGGGCTACTCTGAGATCCTTTCTGTTTGTCTTTAAAATTGTTCTTGTGCCCTTGATAAAGCTATGGGGTGATTTCATACTGCGGGTGATTCCCACTGCTCCTGAGGGCTCGTTGGCTCAACACCAAAAGATGCCATAGAAGGAAGGGAGCTTGGTCTCCACACTGAGTTCAGTAATGACCTTGGGCAGGACTGAGGTTACATAGATGTGTAAGACCCCAGGATGAACGATGGACATGTGGCCCGGGAGAGAGGGTTGCCAGCACTGTCTGAAAGCTACATGCAGAAATGCTCCAGAAGAATTAGGATGGAGACAGAAGGAGGCAACGACACTTTTAGAACTTAAGTGGTGACCCTCTGCTCCTCAACTGTTACCATCCACAGCTGAGTGCCTTCTAGAGCAGCCTTTGTCCCATAAGGCTGGGTCTCTCTGTCAGCCTTAGATAACACTTTTTTCTTCCATACCACTGATACCACTGCTGTTTGCACATTTTTCTGTGGATAAGTACCTGCTTCGATGTCCCGACACAGCGTTTTGTCAGTCTGAATTTATCCATGGCGGTTCTCAATATGGTAGCTGTGTCAATATCTTCATCCCTTGATCCACTGAGCAAACATTTACTGGGCACTTACCGTGTGTCAGGCATTGTGCCGGGCACTGGACACAAACATGAATAAGCCATTATTGCTTCCTTCCAAGGTGCCACCCAACCCAGTGGAGGTTTTCTTGGTGGGACCCGGGAAGCTCTGTACCTGTGACTAGGTTCTGTTCTGCTCAGGTTTGCCCTCCGAGAGTCGTACGCAAACTTTGTGAAAGCTTTCCCTAATGTCTCCAGCCTATAGAATTCATCTTTGTTCTATCCATGCTTTGGTATCAAATGATGTGCTGCTGGGCTGTGACTCATTTCATCGTGTATTTGTTACCTTCTTAACTGGATTGTGGGTTCTGGGCGGGAAGGTTGTATTCGGCAGAGTTCTCTGAAGATACAATCAGTGGGAGATATAAGGAATTTCCTGTAAGGAGTTGGCTCAGGTGTTTATGGAGGCTGACAGGTTCCCAAGACCAGCAGTCGGCAATCTGAACACCCAGGAGAGCCTGCATGAATTGGTTCCAATTCAAAGACAAAGACCTATGTGGCTGACTGAGTAGTGAAACAGGAGTGTCCCCTTCCTCACAGGGAAAGGGGAGGAGTGTGCCTTTTTGCTCTTTTTAGACCTTAAATTGATTGGGTGAGGCCCACCCACGTTAGGGAGAGTGATCTATTTTACTCATTCTACCATTTCAAATGTTAGTCTCATCCAAAAACACCCTCCCAGACATGCCCCAAATAATGTTTGACCAAACATCTGGGCATCTCATGGCCCAGGCAAGTTGACACATAAAATTAGCCATCACAGGGGTCTACCAGTGGTTCCCATCTCTTTAGCAGCACCCCCAGCTTCCATGGCATGGGCTTGGTATCCAGTCTTGCCCTCAAAGAGCAAGTCTAGGCTCAGCCATGGTGTCCTGGAAGCTGCTAATGTTCAGGAATTGGGGCAACCTCAGTATGCAGGCTGCAGTGCACGGGGCCATGGGCCAATCAGAGGAGCAGTATCTTGGGGAGAAAAGATGCTCTGAATTAAAGAGCCAGAAACACCATCCAAAAAAGTCATCCCTGCAGAGAGGAGAGAACCTGGGTTCAAAACAGTAGAACAAAACCCAGACGAGAGGGAGACAATTCAAAGCAAAAGTAGGAGCTGGAGGTAGGAGAAATCTGATCTGGCGAGTGTAGGAGATGCTTCTCCCGGCTCTAAACTCTTCCCTGTGACAAGGAGGCCTGAGGGTCCCCGAGGCTTGCGGGGAGGAGGCACCAATGGTGTCTGACGCACTTCAGGGTGTGGCAGGAGCCTCCTGACAACCATTCTTCTTGCTGAGAGTGCGTGTAGGGGGCCATGTCATGGTGGGGTCACAGCTCCTCTTCTGCAAGCTGATGGGGATCGTCAGGGGCTGCCAGACAGGAAAGTGGGGGGCCTAGAGCAGGGAGGAGGATGTGTGTGGAGCATGGGGTCAGTTCCCTCACTCGAGAACAGTCTGTAGGGAGTCTGTCAGACCCCGTGTTTTGTACTCTGTGGAATCCAGCAGTGGACAGAGCAAAGCCTTACTCTTAGAGAGCTCAACCCTCAGAGGGCGAGGGTGCTTGGGTGGCTCAGTTGGTTGAGCATCCAACTTTGGCTCAGGTCATGATCTCATGGTTTGTGAGTTCAAGCTCCACGTCAGGCTCTATGCTGACAGCTCAGAGCCTGGAGCCTGCCTTGGATTCTGTGTCTCCCTCTTTCTGCCCCTCCCCTACTTGTGCTCTGTTTGTCTCTCAAAAGTAAAATAAATAAACATTAAAAAATAAAATTAAGCACACTGGAGCAAATCACATGGCCCATCAAGGGCTTCTGTATCTTAAAAAAAAAAGAGTGAGACAATGGGGCTTATAGTCAGATAAGTTGGAAAAGTTGACCTTTAGGCAGTGACACATTTGAGCATCTGGAGGTGACACAATAAGCCAGGAGGAAGGAACATTCTCGTGCTGGGAGACCAGGATGGAGGCCAGTGTGGTGGCGGCCAAGAGAGCAGGGCCGCAGTCAGCAAGGACAGGTCAGCCAGGATATGTGGTTCTGTCCCTGGGGAGCCCATTGCTTTATCCTTGAACATTGTCTCCTCTCTGCTGGCCAGTGAGCTCTCCACTGCCATGTGTTCAGGGCGCTGGGGACTTGCCAAGGACAGGGAGTGTGGAGTGGAGAGGGGTGCGGAGGGAAAGGTCTGGAGAGGGCCGTGTTGATATGTTCCAA